AAAAGATTGTTAGTTGAGAGTGTGGCATGGCTGCCAGCTAGCTGGCAGCCAGTATGCCAGTTTACTGGCAGCCACCATTTCAGACAGTTGTTTTTCTTGCTTTATGGATGTCGACTTCTTAAAGTAGAGGTTTTAGTGGATGGTCTGGAACTGGAACAGTCTGGAATGAGGGAATTGTCCTCTCCCCTTCCCAGTAGCAACTGAGCACTTGTTTTAGTCTTGGAGTTGTTGCCGCTTGATTACTTTGCGCCGCTTTGGGTTCACGTGCTAATTACAGAAAGTGTAAGCGAGACTGTTAATGACCAAGTGCTGGTTCCCAAACTGATTGTCATTTAGCACAGCGCCACAGAAACCCACAGCTGAATGTCTTGACCAGTATTTGGAGGCCAGCAACTCAAAGACGTGTCTCAAAGCAGCTTAGCAAATCATTTAGTAGACTTCCATGAGCAAACCAAGTGCTACTTTGAAACAGTTTTCAACTGACTGTAAGCCTCCTCCGTTACCATCTATCGGGCAATGGACACATCGCCCACAGAGATTTGCTCTGAGCCAACGCTGGTGCCGCCTTCTCCGCCGCCGAGTCCAACTTCTCCAGCGTTCTTAGTGGAGCCAGAGGAGCAGTACCCTCCATCACTTCCAGTTTCAAAACCTCGAGAGGTAGCAACTGGTGAATCGGCCACGCAGACAAGTCCGACGGCCAAGGATACAGAGTCCAACGGATGCCATCTGGGAGCTGATTCGGGGCCACCCAAGATGGCATCAGATGTCAGTGCACCACCTCCAGACGCAGGCATGGATCCACCTGTCCTGCAGAACGCAGCTCTTCAGGCAGACTTGGACACAGAACTGGATGCGCCTGAGATTCCGCCAGTGACAAAGAAGCCAAAGACAAAGACTGGGATGACTTTCCAGGAGCACCGGGCGATGTCAAGGTTTGTTCCAGACCCAAACAACCCCGCAGAGCTGCGACTGCGACGGGAAATGGATTAACAAAAATGAACGAGAGAAAGAGAGAAAGAAGCGTCGCCATGCGGAGGCAATGGCTCTGGCAAAGGCTGCGAAGGCCACTGCGAAGGCCGCTGTGAAGGCCAAGACGGCCAAGTGACTCCGAAATACTGTGAAGAAAAAAGTGCGCGATAGATGGAAAGATATGGACAGGTTTTCATTGCGCCACAATTTGTGTGGGTTGGGGGTGGTGGAGGTTCAAAACATGGGGCGGTTTATTCATCGGGTTACTGCGTTCTGTGCTCTTGTGGTCGTGGCTTCTGTCCTGAACGTGCGCGGCGCCAAGGACCCTCGACAGCGACCTCGTGAGCTAATGCAAAGCTGCCTCGGAAGACTTCGATTGGCAGCGAATCCCATTCGTTTTGGAGGCGAGCTCATCTTCTTTGAAGTGGTCTTCCCAAAAAGTGTGTGTAGCTTCAAGCAATTCGTATTTAGCAAGTAGTCTATGATATGTTAATGATTGCGGCAAACAGTAACAGCGGTGATCAGGGTTCAACTCAACAACTTTGATTTCACAGGCAATGGGTGAGAGCAAGGAGAAGTTCGTCATTGCAGCGCAGGCAAAGAGCAAGAACGCCTACGCTGCGAGCGAACAAGCGGCCTTCAACATGTTCAAGACCTCGTTGGTGGCGGACCAAGCGTTGTTTGAAGCCATGAAGCTGAGGCCTTGGTGGGAATGAGTGTGCATAGTTCAGATGCAGTTGCAACTTGATGCTGTCTTGCCAACTTGCAGACAGCTTTGCTGTTTTGCCAGCTTGCTGGCAGACAGCTTTTGCCTTGAGACTGTGTTGCCAGCTTGCTGGCAGCCAGTCTGATGCTTTGAAATGTTGCACCACTGGGACCACAGCGCCACAACAATGTCGTGGTGCCCTTCCTGCCAGGAGCTCCAAAGAGCAAGCGATGAAACGCAAGGAAATTCTGACCAAGCTTGAGGATATGCACCAAGACTGAATGCTACACACGTGCTCTGAAAAGGTTTCTACTGATATCTACTAGGAGTTTCACACTCTTTTAAGATCCTGAGTGCAATGTTGCATGGCCTCCACATGTGCTAGCTACAATGAGGCACAAATCATCGTGGGAGATCATCAACGCCCATGTCAACCGCAACCTCCGTGTCTGGCATGCCAAGCCAGAAAATAGCATTTTACCAACGCTCATGCCCTGGCTTTCTGAATGCATGGAGGAAATGACCTTTGTTCGGACACCGCAGGAGGAAGGGACCGTGCTGTGGGTGAACATGGAGTATAGTCCCCCCTCATGAAGAAGAATTTCTTGGTGTCGCTGGTGACGGGATTGCTCACTTCTTGCCCTACGAACGCTTGCTGCGTGCTGATACATACCAATCGTGCATCTGAATCGAAGTCCGGGTCAGAAACTCAGTTCATAATCGGTTTTACTAATTAGTGGAGTTTGTTGTATTTATATACGCCATGATTATGCCAAGAATTCACAGGAAGGCAAAAAAAGAAGACAGCGATGATGACGAAGACAACGAGGATGAGAACGACGGGGGTGAACAACATGCTGATGATGATGTTTCGGGCTCGGCGGCGCCCCACCAGTCCGCCTTGAGTGATTTCCTATACAACTTGGAAGCGGAACTCCGCCAGCCATCCCGCAACTTAGTGGTGAAAGACCTCGTGCTTCTCTTCGACCCATCGACCATATATGGGCAGCGAGCTGCATTCATGAAAGGGCTTGTGGTGACAACTGCGCCTTGTCCCAACAAACAAACATTGTGTTTGACAATCACCCACATACAGAGTCCACAACCCTCAGGCCTCACAATGTCACTCCTAGCATGCCCGCTCCTGTGCCGACATACATCGAGCCGCGCGTGCTAAACACAACCTGCTGGCAGCCAGCTTGCTGGCTAGCCAGTTGGATGACAGCCAGCTTGCTGGCTATCATCCGCACAACAACCGGACGCCAGCTTGCTGGCAGTCAAGTTGTTGGGAAGCTAAGGCAAACGCTGGTCCTGGTGGGAACAATTTCTGGAAGTCACCTGCTTGGAAGCGAGGTGTCGTTTCAGATATCCAAATGTTGCCACGGCAGGAGATGTACAAGCCACCATCCACAGATACGACAGAGTTGAAGATGAATGCAGCGTTGACTGATTGCCAAGAACAACGCCAGGTGTGTTTGCTCATCTTCAAGTCGTTCATTCAGTCATGTTCAAAAGCAAAAAATTGACATGAAACGGTTCTACGCTTTGTTCCACTTGGTCGTCGTTTTTTGAAACATGGTTTTGATGCAGGCCTGTGGCGGCACCGATGTCGTCAAAAAGGTGGTCAAAGCCCTCACGGCCAACACTTCCATTCAGCGGCTAGCTTTGGTGGACGCACATGGCTATGATGCATTCCCGGCGCTCGCAACAATGGAGGTATGATTTTGGGGTGAACTTCAGTTCAACAATTGCACTAGTTGCTTGCTTGAGGTTCAAGTTGAATTTGCTCCAAAAATAGAAATGAAAGCAGAGGTCATTTTCCACAAGCTGATAAGTACTTCATCTTTAGATCTTGCATCTCACCCCTGCGAGATTGAGTCACCCAAGACTGTGTGGGCGACCATTGTGACGGACTCTGGGACCACGAAGAAGCGTCGGGCAACGCCTGCTGACATGATCAGCGATCGGATTACTTCGAATCTCTACGAGAAATGCCGACTTAAGACTTGTCACATAGCTGGCTTTCCAGACTTTGCCCCCTTGGTGGGCGAGCTGAATGAGGCTACAGCATCGGGCCCCACCACCGACCAAGAGTTCAAAGTGACGGCAGTGCGTCCGTCCGGGTGCTTGGTGATTCAAGAGCAGTTCTACCAAAAGTGGGATGGAGAAGAGGTACCAGCTCCAGACTTTCGTCGGCTGGCTGCTGAACACGATGAAAAGTTCAATGCAGCAAATGTGCGATTGGCAACCCCGGTGGCAGCGGCCACGCCTGCGCCTCCAACAGAGAATGTCAAGGTGGAGCTGGTTGAGCCTGGTGATACCATAAACTCAAAACACCATTGCATCTTTGCCCAGCCCGCTCTGCCCTCAGCGCTTCAGTTGAGTGGTTGAGACATCTTGCTTGAATGACCGTGCAATCGTAAGAAGCTGCAGTAAGTGCCATTATGCTGGCAACTGGCCAGCAATGCTTGCAGCCAGCTTGCTGGCAGCCAGCTTGCTGTCAGCCAGTAAGGTGCAGCCAGCTTGCTGGCAGCCACCTTTCCTGGCAGCCAGTTAGAGTGGCAGCCATGGTATACTTATTAGCTCTGTTACTTGATGTGTCCCTGTATGAACATTGGTCCAGGTCAGAGCTGGTGATCAATAGCCAAGTCAGCCTTGTGGTCACACAAGATGGTTCAAACGCATACCTCAAAGCTGGGTCGGAACAAGCCATCCTTCCAAACAAAAAAGAGCTGTTCAGCTTTGGGAGTGGCATGTGGTGCGACGGCAGCGATGCGACCCAAGCGATGAATGCTGGGGGGTCGTGGTTGAAATGCCAAGTTGGACTGTCCTCAATGTGGATGGAAGAAGGCACGTGTCCAGTCCACTGATTCCAAGCTATGGAAGAAAGCTGGGTCAGACCGCCAAGCAGAGCTTCTCACTAAGCTCTGCGAAGCCGAGGTCAAGGTTGCCTTGAAGCTTCGCGATTCATCTTAAGAATCGCGGCGGTACTTGGGGATGAAAAAGCGTTGCTTTTTACAAGGTTCAACATGTGACTTGCTTGATTTGGCACATGGAGCCTATGGTTTGGAAAGTGATGCCAGGTGATGTGCTTTGCAAATTGATGGCTAACGCTGCTGTTGCAAGTGTGCTGAACAAAGTTGCCGGTTTGCGCGTTGCAAGGCTCAATGAACGGGTAGTACTTTGGACACCCACTTGCTATTTAGAAGACACCCAGTTCAAGATAGATGTCCCCAGATGTAAATACACAACAGTATAATTATATGGCTTCCTGCTAATAATAAGGAATTCTTGAGAGCAAAACCTCATTTTCAATCAAACCCGCCTTGCCACCAAAGCTGTGAATGGGGTTCTCATTGTGCAAACGCTCCACCAATCCTGTAGAGGTGCGCTCAAAATATCGTTGACCCACGAAGAGGTCCACGTCGCCGTCCTCATCGAAGTCCAGTGCCTGCAAACTATGCATCAAACATTCGGATCCATCGACATGTAAAATGTTGGTCTGCAAGTGCATGATGCTTCCCTGCTGGATCGGCGCGCCGGCGCGCTCCAGGATGCTTATATTGGCGGAGCCCTGAAATTCCGTACAGAGCAATATGTCTAAGCCCCCATCACCATCCCAATCAACGACGTCAATGTCAATGTGTAAGGCCGGACCTTCAAAAATGTCCAGAGTAGAGTTTGAAGCTGGCCAGGGCGCGCGGAACAAGTCTTCTGCCTGGAAGCTGCCATTTGCAAGATGCTCATATAACGTGACCACCAGCTCAGGCCCTGCCTGTGCCAGAAGCAGGTCTGCGTCACCATCAGCGTCCCAATCGGCAAATTGCAAACCCTTGAAGGCCTTTGATGCAACCCCCGAGGAACTCGGGCCAGGGTAGTCGCTGGGGCATTCCTCGGATTTGCGTAAGGAACCGGAAAAACATATTCCCATCTTAGAAGGGGATTCACAGTGATTCACCCTCACAAATCACCTTAAGCACAAAACCAGGATTCCCACCATGGCAAGGGCTGGTGCTCAAAACGACGAAGCTGTCCCACACAGCTGCCTTGAGACTGGCACCAGGCCTCCGCTGCGACCTTTGGGAGGAAGAGGAGCATGAGAAGCGAAGGAAGGCCGGTCGAGCTCATGGCGAGCCAGTCCAGCAAAGGGAGCTGCTTTTGGGGGAAGTGTGTGCCTGTCACACTGCATGTTCTTGGTCTATGATATTCTATGATTACATTCCTCAGCCACATCTGCTTATGGTCCATGTTATGTCAACACCTGTCCGTAGAATTCATGAGCCGGGAATATTCCTCTTCGAATCAACTTCATTCAACTGCAACATGCTCAATAGCATGTTTCTAGAAAGGCCAGGCTTTGGGCCAAAAGCCTGAAGTAGCTGAAGTTGCTGGGTGTCTCAAGAAACCTCGGCCTCAATGATCTGGCGAGCAAACTGTGAGGACAACGACTGAGCTTGGACCTTTCGAAAGGTCCAAACGACCCTGACGACCCGAAGCTCAGGGGTTGCTTCTCACGCGAACTCGAAGCTTTGACGCGAACAGCTTTTGCTTAATCACAGGCCACGGAGGTACATTGAGGATGTCTGGGCTTGATTGAAGCATTTTTTCACTTCCAGGAAGCTGGGAACAAGAATGGAACATCTCCCCCATGAATATGGGGATTTGTAGCCATAGGGAAAAACATCACCCGAAGCAAAACCATGTTGAAGCACTTAAGAAAGTGCTACAGTAATCCCCGCATGAGCGCAGGGCCGGGGGAAGAGCGTGTTCTGCAGTAGATTCCATTTGACATCTCTCATGTTTGATGCATGTCCACATCTGCTTTGCTTGATACCCCGGCAGTTGTTTGTTTATTGAACTGGTCCGCCTCAGCACTATCTACCAACAGAAAGTGCATGAAGCTTTGTTCCTAGTAGCTTCTTGTTCCTAGTAGTAATGCCAGGAGCTACTAGTAGCGTCCTTGCTCCGTTCGTAGCGATGCCCTTTGTTCCTAGCTGCAGGTTGCCAAGGATCAGAGTCCTTTCTGTAGCGTCCTTGTTCCCAGTTACGATGCCAGGAGCTACTAGTAACTTCTTGCTCCTAACAGCGATGCCCTTTGTTACTAGTTAACAAAATCTCCAAGATGCAAACGTCTTCCGCCAGCGCGGGCTCCTCTAAACGCAGGTACACCTCCGGAGAGAAGCTTGGTCGTTGGAGCAAGCTGATCATGTGCACTAATTCTATTCAAACACGTAGCTTGTAGGGTACAACACGTATTTCCCAAACGTATTTTCAGACTTCTCAGAGGATCGATTGGATGCAAAACATCCGTGAGAAGTGAGAAGTCACAAGTTCGGCAAGGAACCGTGGCGTCCGTGGGGAGCAAAGACCATGCAAGTCAACATGGCAACTGACTCTGGGGTCCTGTTTTCCCTTCGACTCCAACGCCAGTCGTTCATCAGTTCTGGAGAATTCCACGACCAAGTCGTGGACAAGGGAGTCGGAGATCCTCTTCAAGCCCATGAACGGGCATGGCATATTGTTGTATACAATTTCCATAAATTTACAGTCGCATTCTCAAATTCAATGCTCCAAAACTGAACACACCAGCCCATCTTTTTTGACGCCACACTGGTTTCACAAATCCAACAGAATTCAAAGGTTCCTGAATTTGGGACACTTGGGAACTGGAGCAACAAATTTAAACAAATACTATTTTCTGGACCTTTGAGATCTTGAGCGATTTTGATAAATCCAACCGAGAGCTGATCATGCAGTCGTGTCCAGACTTTGCACTAGCCTTGCAAGCGATTCGCATGGCACCAAACTGATGCTAGCTGCCATGATTTCACGCACATTCCAAACTACATACATCCAGCATGAGAAGAGACCCTTAAAATGGATGAAACATGATAACACACCAATGTGATACCACCATGCCTGGGAACAACCGATGACCCTCCCCCCCCAAAAATGAGCAAATCAAACAGAATGCCATACTACCCCTTTCAGAGTGGAGAGCTCTCCAAGCTTCCTTTTTCGCCCTCGTCTTCGCGGACGTTTCACAAGGATTCTGGCGCCTGTGCCAAGTTGGAGTACAAGGGCATCAGCAAGTCATTTCGCTCTTTCCGCCGTGCATCCACCAAATCTTCCACCTGCCGACGTGGGTCCTTCGTCCATGTGTTGGGGATGGGCATCGGGTGTGGTGGTTCGGTTTATGTTTATCTAGGAGGAGCAGAGCGAAGCTTTGTTCGGTCAAAACATGTGAACCGTTTTCCCGCCTAAACAGAAATCAACTTCAGTATAAGACAAAATCCTGAATCTACACAAAGATTAAATCTCTGAAGGTTGCCTGAACACCAAGTTCCTGCGTAGAGAAGTCTAAATAAACTTTGAAGTAAACTTGAATGGGCCGGGCAAAGAACTGACATCAGAACATTCCCGCTCCTCTGTCGGTTATATGGTGCTTTTTCTCTCCAAACCAACGAAGACCTCCAAACAGAACACCTCTCGCACAACCCCTCCGCCAGACCGAGCCGATTCCATTCCCCATTCCCCATGCGGAAGGGCCACGTAAACAATGGCTTCACGATAGTAGTCCCGTGCTTCCATGAGGTTTCCAGACTTGAACTTTTCCTTAGCCCCCAGCGGTGGGCGGTTCAACCGGGTTGGGGGAGAGGTGGACCTGGGTGTCCAAAGGTGGCCCTGGAAGCTGGGAAAGTACGGCTTGCATATGTGGACTTCCGGCCATGCCGTATTTTCAGCATCCTCAGCCACATCATCCAGTCCACTGGGTGCGGTTTTAGGCCCAAGTGCGTTCCAGGGCATTTCAGTGGTGATTTTCCATCTTGTAACTTGTATGTGTCTTTTCCCCTTCCGCTAGTGTATACAAACCTTGAAACAGCCCTTCCTTACGTCACGCCCTCTTCTTTCCAACCCAGCTCCACGTCAATCCCTCACTCCAATCCCAAGTCCAACATGCCCAAATTAAAATATATATAACTCAATGACTGATAGCCTGATAGCCGAAGGTGAAACTTCCCTAGGGCCGACTTCAAAAAGGCCAAACATCATCTAAATCTAAACGACCATAGGACTTAACTTGCATAGCCTTTGTAGGGCAAGATACCTTTGACCTGCCAAAGTTGTAGGAGCTAGCAAGTTTCAGCGTGTAGCTGGTGAGCAGCTATATAAGTCAATTAGCACCAGCCTAGCAACCTAGCCAAATCTTAGCCAAGTTCTGGACAAGTGCTAACAAAGCCCAAGCCCAAGTCCTTTAGCTCAATACTGTTGGACTTAGCTGACTAGGCCTCAGATTAACGCCGGTCTAGGTTCCAGCTAATCATTGTTACTGTTGCACATTTGTGTGTGGTGTTCTGCGTTGGCTCCAAGTTTGTTCCAACAGGTGCAAAGTCAAATTAACTAGCACAACATCGGAACATTTAGAATAGTCTTTCCTTTCTAGCAAAACATCTGAACATTCAGAATCTTTCATTCCTGTCCAGAGCAGCCTCAAGCTCTGAATTTGCTCTGCATGCTGAATACGTTGTGAGCGTTACACAAACAAAGATTAAGCCGGTGAATCAATGTGCTTGTTCTGTTTTGCTCTGAAACGGTAGTAGGCAAGCGGCCTTTGTGGTACTGTTTGACAGGCTCACTCGACTGCCTTACCCGAATCCTAGCTCAGTCAAGCTGAGTTCGGTCCTAGCTAAGTCCTTGCTAGCTTATATATTCATAATATATATATATATAGTTGAGAGACTCTTATATAATATCATAAGTCAATATTATAACTTGCCTGTGGCTTGCTGCCCCTCATGCGTCCCCCAGCATGCCAGGTTCGAACTGAAAACTTCTTAGCCAAAGTGGAAAAATGAATAAACATGATAATAAGGACCTCTGCATCTTAGCTTTCATCAGCTACCCTCCCTCTAACGTCCTCATGGTTACGTGGATAGCATGACCCCCGGAGAGACCATGAACTTCTCTACAAACAGGGGATGAACTCCACTTCCATGTTTGTTGGAGGGAGGGCACTTTGGCATGAATGGGCTGGCAGCATGGTCGCCATGGCCAAACCAGTCCTTGGGAACAAGATTCGTTGCCAATGGTCTTGAATTCGCCAGCTCTCTGCACACGCTCGGCATTGCCCATGGCCTCCTTGCGTGTTCGCACCTTCTCCTTCCATTCCTCAGCTGAATGTATCACTCAGCTTCTGCCGAACGGAACCCCAAAGTCAGCTGCCACTGTTTGCCAGCCACATCCTGGACGTGATTGGAAGGAAGTGCATGTTTCCTGGGAGATGTTGCGACATGCTGAGGCTGGACAGTGCAACAACGTGTCGACGTGTCCCTCTGCTGTCGACGTGTCACTCTTTTTGACAGTGAGATGATACCGAAAACCGTTACCTCACCGATGATTCTTCATCGCACCACTTCTAGTGATTCACACTTCCAACCCCAACAAAATCAGGCAACAAAAACAAAGCATAACAAAGCAATATTCCATCTAGAACATTCTACGATTCTAGAACTACTACTCACTACTCGAGAAAAAAAAAAAAACTTGGTTCATCTTGGTTCCATTCCCAGTGACCAGCGTGCCCAAAAAAATGTTTAAGAATTGGTTTGGTCAAGACTTCGGTCTGGCCAAACCGAACCCATGAAGTTCGGTCAACTCGCTGCGTTCCAGGTCTCCCGTTCGCGCTTCTCTCGTTGGTACTCCTGGCGTTCTGGCGCAGGCGGATGGAAGGGAACATGAATCCTGCCAAGGTGATTTCACTGCACTTCGATCGCCATAGTTGCAAATCAATGCAATCAACATCGGCCGAAGATCAATGAATTGCCAAAAATGCTCCAAGAAATGCATTTTGCCTGTGCGGAAGGTGATCATCTTATATGCGTGTGTGAAATA